GGGAACACCATTTCAGGGATCTCCCCCTAAAAAAAAGACACCCATATTGGGTGTTTCTTCATGTAAGTACTTTGATGTCCTGGTTACCCTACGGTGCTTGCCTTTGAATTCGTTTGGTTTTGCCAGACGCAGAGTTGAAATTGACCCTTGGTCCACCCCGGCGAAGGGAAGAAACCTGATCCGAGTAGGGTCGGCGGCTTGTCACGAGATCCTATTTGCTTGGGCTTCGCATCTCTCGACTTGACCGAAGACTTGCCTCAAGTCAGACCATTCATGTAAACAGAGGCTAGCGGCTTACCTTTGACTGCTACGTTCAACGCAATAGGTCACTGCCAAGAAGACTTACCTTGGACACGTGAGCCTTGGGTCCTGGCTTTGGCTCTCGTGTCACTTGGATTTCGGCACTCGGCGCTTGGATTTCGCTTCTTAGGTGCGGCCTCCCATATGACATTGCCAAGGACGCGGAAAGTCGCTCGCCGGAGTTGGCGGAAAGTCTCACGACACCTCACGACTCGTCGCACGCATTTTTGTTGCTCCCCACCCTTAAAGGGAGAATCTGCTCCCCACCCTTAAAGGGAGAAAGAATCATGCCGACGTTCTGGCACAAAAAAAAATGGGCAAGAACAAGTTCATGTTCAAGTCTTACGCATTGCTGCCTCGCTCGACACGACACGGAACAAGGTCTGGCTTGCTTTTGGCAACTCTTTGTTGTGGTAACCTGGATCGTGGAAACCATCTCACGCTTGCCTATCATGGGCAAAGCGGATGGCTGGAGTAATTGCGTAATCTTCCGCAGAGGGTCACTTCGAACCACTCATAAGAAATCTTAAATCTTTTGGCGCATTTCCTGGGAATTATTTTGCTTTGGGTATGTACGGTATCTGTGATAGATTCAAGGCCTCAGTCGAGGTTCACGAAATCGCCATTTGAACTCATACGCGACAGGCGTTCGGTCTTCCAGAGGGTTGCGGAGGTTTCTGGACAGGGTTGCGTTCTGGAGGTGCTTGCTTGTGTGTTTGGAGAATGCTACGTATCCGAGCTTACATGGTTGAAGTTTGCCACCGCAGCCTTTTGACTTCGAGCTTTTGTGGCGTGGTTCTCAAAGCTGGGAGCTTAGGGAGATGGTGGCCTATCCAGATGTCCAAGAAGTCGCGCGCCATAGAACCTTAAGACGTTCCAGCTGATTCTGGTGAGTGCAATCATTGCAAGACATTTGGGATGTTGGAATCTATGCCCTGCTGAAGTTGGGGTCCATGCGGGATGGCCTGGATGCAGGCGAAGGGTACTTCAGAAGGGATTCTGGGAAGTACAACAGCGTCAGCTGTTAAATGACAAAGAACCTAGCATCCACGCACGCTGAAATACATGGGGCAAGCGTTGATGCGATGCCACTTTCTTGAAGCTCCAAGTTTGCAGTGCAATGTGCTATCCATCCATCTTCTCTTCATCAGCGTGCAAAAGGTTCATCACCCACGAAGTGGGGCATTTAGACCACAAAAAAAACAAAGGTTCCAGATGGCGATTCGGTCAGAAAATGTCGCGGGCGAGTGGGGCAATAGGAAGCGGCGGCCTAGGCAGCTTGGCCTGCAGCTTCGGCCTATGTAGCTGGCCACCTTTCAGTGACGGCTCTGCTTCGAGTCTGGTCAGAGTTGGTGGCCGCTTGGGCCGTCGCAAGCGTGGTAGCGCGCACAGAACTGAGGCAGCGCAGGACTAGTTTGCATGTTGGCGAAAACAAGTTGAAAACAATACATTTCTCAATGATGCCACTCTGTTTGCATGACGCTTGTAGTTCCTGGTGTCGGAATCTTGATCAATCAATCATTATCGCAGGTTTTCGCCATTTGACCGCCCGTTAGTGACCAATCCCTGCCTGAACCCCGCCTCCTGCCTTTGCTCGTGCCGCACAGAAGTTAGGCAGCGCAGGAGTAGTTTGCATGTTGGCAAAAACAAGTTGGAAACACTATATTTTTCACTGATGCCACTCTCATTGCAACGTCATTGCCAGCGTCAGAATCTTGATCGATGAAACATATGATGAGGTATGATGAGGCATGAAGGCAGCCAGTTTCGCCTTAGGCCTACCTGACGGCCCCTCAGCAACAAAGCCTTGCCTGAACCCAGCCTCCTGCCTTGAGTCTGTTCAGTGTGGGTGGCCATTCGGGCGCCTTTGCAAGCGTGGCTGCTCGCGCAGCACAGAACTCGGCAGCGCAGATTTGCGTGTTGACGGCAGCATCCTGAAAACAACACTACTCTTTGAATGATTCCACTCTCATTGCGCCTTTGCGGGTGTGAGAACCTTGATCAATGATAATCATGATAGGGCACGAGGCCTAGCTGACTGCCCCTGAGTGCCCAAGCCACCCTGCCTCCGAGGCTCGCCTCAGGCCGACGAAACTGACCACCCCTCAGTGACCAAGCCTTGCCTGAACCTTGCCTCCTGCTTTGCATTTGGAAAAGTGCTGGTTGCCATTCGGGCTGCCTTTGCAAGTGTGGCTGCTCTCGCAGCACAGAACTCGGCAGCGCAGATTTGCGTGTTGACGGAAGCATCCTGAAAACAACACTACTCTTTGAATGATTCCACTCTCATTGCGCCTTTGCGGGTGTGCGGTGTGAGAACCTTGATCAATGATAATCATGATAGGGCACGAGGGGCAGCCAGTTTCGCCTTAGGCCTACACGCGACTTCCAGCAGGTGGCTGCTTGGAAGGTGGGCCACAACTGGAGTCCAACTCCTACCCGGTGACCTGAACCAGCCACAATTCCATGCCCAAAAACAATGAGTCCCCGCAAAGGACCTACATCAGAGCTTGTTTTTTCACCAGGTGAGCTCGCCAGTTTCCACTTTGTTGGTGGCGAGGTTGTGGACTCTCACTGTACACCCCTAGCTGCGCGACATGTACAGATTTCCCCCAGGTGAGCTTCTTGTCATAGGCAAGCGACGAAACTGACCACCCCTCAGTGACCAAGCCTTGCCTGAACCTTGCCTCCTGCTGTGCATCTGGAAAAGTGCTGGTTGCCATTCGGGCTGCCTTTGCAAGCGTGGCTGCTCGCGCAGCACAGAACTCGGCAGCGCAGATTTGCGTGTTGACGGAAGCATCCTGAAGACAACACTACTCTTTGAATGATTCCACTCTCATTGCGCCTTTGCGGGTGTGAGAACCTTGATCAATGATAATCATGATAGGGCACGAGGCCTAGCTGACTGCCCCCGAGTGCCCAAGCCACCCTGCCTCCGCATAGCCAGGCTCGCCTCAGGCCGACGTAACTGACCACCCCTCAGTGACCAAGCCTTGCCTGAACCTTGCCTCCTGCTTTGCATTTGGAAAAGTGCTGGTTGCCATTCGGGCTGCCTTTGCAAGCGTGGCTGCTCGCGCAGCACCAGCGCAGATTTGCGTGTTGACGGAAGCATCCTGAAAACAACACTACTCTTTGAATGATTCCACTCTCATTGCGCCTTTGCGGGTGTGAGAACCTTGATCAATGATATTCATGATAGGGCACGAGGGCAGCCAGTTTCGCCTTAGGCCTAGCTGACTGCCCCTGAGTGCCCAAGCCTCCCTGCCTCCGCATAGCCAGCCTCGCCTCAGGCGGACGTAACTGACCACCCCTCAGTGACCAAGCCTTGCCTGAACCTTGCCTCCTGCTTTGCATTTGGAAAAGTGCTGGTTGCCATTCGGGCTGCCTTTGCAAGCGTGGCGGCTGGCGCCCGTGTTGACGGAAGCCTGAGCCGTCTGCCTGTTTGGGCGTCAGAAGTTGGATCAATCATTATGACGAGGCATGAGGGAAGCCAGATCGCCTTAGGCCTACGTAGCTGACCACCCCTCAATGACCAAGCCTTGCCTGAACCCTGCCTCATGCCTTGAGTCTATTCAGTGTTGGTGGCCGATTGGGCTGCTATGGCTGCTCTCGCAGCACGGAACTTGGCGTTGCGTGCTGGCGAAAACAAGTTGAAAACAACAACCCTTCAATGATGCCAATCGCTTTGTAAGACTTGCTGTGCGCTCGATTGCATGCATGCGTGTCAGAAACACAGAGCTGGATATGCGCACGGCTTCCGGCTTTTGGAGGACAGTGCCTGATGCCCCACTGTGTTGTGACATCAGCACCTCACTCGCTGTAAGAGGCGGCGATCCCGAAAGAGCGTGTGATCACACCTCGCGGGCATCGACGCAAGCCGCAGATTGAAGAGAAATTGTGCTCAGCCAATGGCTAGGCGGAACTTGACAGCTGACTCAGTGTGCTGGGTGGTGGGACATTTATCCTTTATTGGCCCTGTATTTCGCGAATGGAGCCTGCCTGCCTTCCGCTGCCGAAGTGCACCCGAACGCCAGTCGAAAGCAGCTAGACAGTCAAAAGTCAATGCAAGGAAGCTGCGGGAAAACACCCTAAAGAGGAAAATTGTCTCCCCAGCGCGAAAAGGGGCTTCTGTTTGGATGTTTGAGCTTAAATTGACAACTTTATTGGGATTCTACCTTGTTTTTCCTCGGCCAAGAACTTACAACTTCCAGCGGCTGTTTGATGTGGCAGTTTATCAGGGCCATCTATTTTCCAAAAGGACACCTATGTTTATGACCCTAGAGGACAACTCAGAATCACCAGCGTTGGGAACCGCGAGCGCGCGCAGGACATGTTCCAGCCGTTTCTGCTGTGGGAGATCCAGCAGTACAGAAAAAGCCAAGGCACCGGTTCTGACTGCTTTGGAACATGTGTTTCTCAAAATAGGAACCCCAACACGCCCGACAAAAACGAAACACCCTTTAAAAGGAGGTGCCACCTGCAGGCCAGCCCACCGGAAGATCAGTGCCAGGTAAGGCGGGTGTCCTTATCAACATGTGTGCGGCTTTCCTCTACGACTGGCAGATTTTTTGCCCCACGTGGCTGACACTTGGGTTTCGCAGCGTCAATGCGGCATGGACTGTGAACGGTGCCGACTTTCAGGTTCCAACTTGACACATTGACAAGGAAGCCAGGGCTTCTCCGTGTCCCCAGCGTTTGGTTTGATTACATGACCCCTGGTCAAAGCCATGCTGGACCCACTGTGCGTGAAAGTCAGAGGTTTTGGCATCGCGCCAGGTCATATACCCCTCCCGAAAGGCTATGTCACAGTCCAAGTATGCGAGTGACAGAAGATGCGTGACTGGTAAAAGGTGCCCCCCCAAAAGGCGACATAGAATATGTATTATTATATATAGAAAAAGTGGAGAAAACACAGCCGGAGAATCGCTTGCCAGCGCTCGCCAGCTTGCACGGAAGAGGATCCCCACCTGAGTGACTCTCCTTCGAAGGATCGGATGATTTGGACGAGGAGCTGCGCCAGCGTGAGAAGCTCGAGTGGTTTGAAGATCAGCCGGAGGCGCGGCCAACGGATGCCTTTTTGCCCGAATGCGTAGCAGAAGGGTTCCCGTTTAGAGGTCGGGGGTCTGGGGGTTAGGACGTGACCAGAAGTCGTTGATTTACGTCCTCAAGCGTCCGTATGTGTTCGCGAGTGTTGGGTTCGCAGCTCCAGTGGGGAAACCAAAAAACGTGCCATTTAGATGACTTGAAGCGTGTCATTTTTCGTGCCCCTGTGCGGGAATCGTAGCTCTTAGCATGTCAGACGTAGTTTTGCTGCGCAGGCGCAGTGTTTTGCAAGGCTGCGTGTTCTCGCTGCCGTGCCAGTGGGATTTGCGATCCAGGGGTGGTCGCTTTGAGGTGTCCTGCTTGGCAGGCGCGTGCAAGTGTTTGCGCGAGTGTCACTTTCGTTGGCCCTGTCGTACAATCAGCTTGTTTTGCCGAGCCTGACGCCACAGTCCCGTGCTAGTTTTCGATGCGTGTCGTAAACGTGTCAAAGTTGGATTTCGTGGCAGGTCCAGCAGTTTGGATGATTTTGAGTTTGTTGCAAGCTTGCTTCGCGTGACAGGCGAAGCACTTTCGAGCGTTTTGGTTGAATTTCGTGGCAGGCGCGGCACTTTGGAGCTTTTCGTGCAAATTTCGTGGCAGGCGCAGTACTTTGGCACCTGGGTGTAGATTTCGTGGCAGGCACGTCACTTTGACTCACCGAGATCGCTCTCGCTGTGGTGCGGTGCGCATTTTGAGAAGGCGAAGCAAACCCTCTGCGCACTTTGGGCGGGTCCACTCGCTCTCGCTGTGGCGCGGCGCGCATTTTGAGCATGCGAGTCAAATCGCTCTCGCTGTGGCGCGGTGCGCATTTTGAGCATGCGAAGTGAACCCTCTGCGCACTTTGGGCGGGTCGAATCGCTCTCGCTGTGGCGCGGTGCACATGTTGAGCGCGAAGTGAACCTTCTGCGCACTTTGGGTGGGTCGAATCGCTCTCGCTGTGGCGCGGTGCGCATTTTGAGATCGCAAAGCGAACCTTCTGCGCACTTTGGGTGGGTCGAATCGATCTCGCTGTGGCGCGGTGCACATGTTGAGATCGCACAGTGAACCCTTTTGGGTGGGCTGAATCGCTTTCGCTGGGCGCGGGGCACATTTTGAGATCGCCAAGTCGTGACGAAACACGAAACGCGGGTAGGGTCGTGGGTAGAGACATGAGACAGACCACGAAAGGCAGGACGGGAGATGTGACGGAGTTGTGACGCGAGGCGCGTCAAGACACATAATGAGAGATGTGTTGGAAGTGATGACGAGAGACAGGAGCAGAGTTGTTACGACAGACGTCACAAAGCACGTGACCAAAGACGTGACAGCAGACGTGACCAGAGGTGTGACGATGGATGTGAGAAGAGGATCAGCCGTGACAAGAGACGTGACGAGAGATGCGACAAGATCCGTGTGACAAGGATCGTGACGCGAGAGGTTACCAGAGACGGGATGGCAAACACGAGAAGAGACGTTTCAGAAGAGACGTGGCGAGGGTCGTGACAAGAGATGTGACCAGAGACGTGACGCGAGTGGTGACGACGCACGCGACAGGATCTCCAAGAAAGACGCGACGGGAGATGCACGTAGTTGTGACGAGAGGCGCGTCGAGACACGTGATTAAAGATAAGCTGAAAGTCATGACGAGAGACGTGGCCAGAGTTGCTACGACAGACGTGACAAAGGACGTGACCAAAGACGTGACCTGAGGCGTGACGATGGATGTGAGGGATGTGACAAGAGACGTGCGAGGAGAGTCGCGACGAGACGCGAGATATGGCGTGATCAGAGACGTGACGAGAGATGCGACAAGATCCGTGACGAGGAGGTTGCCAGAGACGGGACGGCAAAGATGACAAGAGACGTGTGAGAAGAGACGTGGCGAGGTTCGTGACCAGAGATGTGACGCGAGGGGTGACGACGCGCGCGACAGAATCTCCAAGAAAGACGTGTTGGGAGACGCTACGTAGTCGTGACGAGAGGCATGTTGAGACACATGATGAAAGATAAGATGAAAGCCATGACAAGAGACGTGGCCAGAGTTGCTACGACAGACGTGACAACGGACGTGACCAAACACGTGACCAGAGGCATGACGATGGATGTGATGGATGTGACAAGAGACGTGCGAGGAGAGTCGCGACGAGACGCGAGATACGGCGTGACCAGAGACGTGACGAGAGATGCGACAAGATCCGTGACGAGGATCGCGACGCGAGAGGTTGCCAGAGACGGGACGGCGAAAATGACAAGAGACGTGTGAGTGACCAGAGACGTGACGCGAGGGGTGACGACGCGCGCGACAGGATCTCCAAGAAAGACGTGACGGGAGATGCTACGTAGTCGTGACGAGAGGCGCCTTGAGACACGTGATGAAAGATGCGATGATGAAAGATGTGACGAAGGTCATGACGAGAGATGTGGCCAGAGTTGTTATTAAGAGACCTGCCAAGGGACGTCTAGCTACGTGGCGATAGATGTGACAAGAAACGTTGTTACGTGAGACGCGACAAGGACAAGGACAAGGAAAAAAGAGAGACGTGACAAGAGACGCTGTTGCGAGAAACCTGACAAGGGGCATGAGCAGAGACGTGACGCACCAGAGACGTGACTATACACCAAAAAGAGGAATAGCCAGATAGTGCACCTGGCGAGGAGAGACGTGACGAGATTGCACCAGAGACGTGACGAGAGATGTGACAAGAGACGTGGCGCGAGGGCCGACGACTCATGAGTGACAAGAGACGTGACAAGAGTCGCCAAGAAAGACGCGGCGGGAAACGCGACGGAGTCATGACGACAGGCGCGGCGAGACAAGTGATAAAAGACCAGAGACGCGACTTGAGGGGTGACGGACAAGAGACATGACGGGAGTCGCCAAGAAAGACGTGATGGGAGACGTGACAGAGTCGTGACGAGAGGCGCAGCGAGACACATGATGCAAGGTTTGACGAAAGTCATGACGAGAGACGTGGCCAGAGTTGCTACGAGAGACGTGACAATGACGTGGTCCGAAGTGACCAGAGACGTGACTATAGAAACGTGACTAGAGACGCGACGCGAGAGGTGACAAGAGTCTGCTTTCGTGCCCGTATTCGGGTTCGTGGCTTCTATCAGGTTTTCTCATGCTGAAGACAAGCCTTCTCGCTCTCAACGGCGAGTGGCTCTTATTTGGTTCGAAGTGGCTCTTATTTGGTTCGAAACCTCTGTGAGACTTTTGTTTTGAACCAAATGCTTGGTTTCGAACCAAAGAGAGTTTGGTTCTTGGCCATTTGGTTCGGGACCCTATTTTAGTAGAGACTTTGTTTGTCGTGCTACTTTGCCTTGGTAGGGGTTGATTCCCCATTCTTTTCAACCATTGTTCTTGACTAAACCCGGCTGTTTCCAACCTGCGTTTCTGATGGTTTCCCGGTTTCCAGATGCCTGGAAAGAATGGACATGGAAAAGGCACCATTGCTTGGCTAAGCTCCGATCCGCAGGAGCTTCGGTGGGAGCTCCTGCAGAAGGCCATGGACCGCAGGCGGAGCCACTGGGACGACCTTGGGCCGAGAGTCGGACTGCGCAAGTTGGTTCCCGAGCTTCCATTTGCTGAAATGAATATTTGTTATTTCCAACCTGTTGGTTGCAAAGGGAAACTATCTCTACTGGAATTAATTATATTCTTTCCAGGGGACGTAAGCAAATGGAGACCAGTAGTGCCCCAGGTTTCTACTAGGTCCTGCTTGGTTCACTTGGGACCAGGTTTCCCCAGTGGACCAATCATATTGCAAGTGAATCAACTAGGTCCCCCAGCTAGGTGTCCTTTCTCACCCGTTTCTTTTTGCGGGAGGGTTCCCCTTCTGAAATAGACTGCAGAAAAAAGGGTATCCTTATTCTAACCTCTCTATTGGAGGACCTAGTCAAGCTGGAATTTCTGGTCAGATCTTAAGCTGTCTCCAACACACCAGCTGCGTGATTGGTCAAGTGGTCCAGAGATGTGTTCCTGGAAGTTTTGCCAGCGTCCTGATCCAAGTTCTACTTAACAATGGTTGTGCAACTCGAAGGATCATCACCAGCGCTGCGAGTGGGCCATCTGCATGTTCAGCTGGATCGAACAACAGAATTCATAGAGTCAATCCTCCAGGATACTGTAGCGAGTCCAGAGATTTCAGAACCTGACGTGGTCTGAATGCCATACCGTGGATAGTTTACTCGTTTGAATACTGCTGAATTGCTTGAGATTGTAGGGGTTCCCTTTATTTGCCACGTTGCTTGCTTCGACCTGAGCAGCCGGACTGGCCTCTGTTCGGAGTCACCTCATGGTTTGGAGCTGTGAATTATGAATGGTTGACTTCTATTTGTTGAGTTTGCGTGCTGCGAACATTTACATAGTGCAACATTGCAGTATGTTACGTGACAGCGGCGCCAGTGGATTCAGCATAGAGGACTGTTTCGCCATCCATGGAGGGAATCGCATGTTCCGAAGGAGTTGATATTGTGGGCCCTTCTTTTTCAACAGAAGTTATCACAATGTTACTGCATCATATGGCTGTGGGTCAAAACCAATGGTACCATTTTGGGGTAGGTGCACCGCCCATTTTAGAACCTATTTTAGTGGTTGGATTGGGATGTTCACTGGGGGGTGACCGGGGTTTTGACCCATGGCCATATGAGGGCCAACTGGCGGTTTTGCAGCACCAATCCTTCTAGGGTCTCTTAGGTGGTGCAGGATTTTGTCCATCCACAGTATGTGCTGACAGACAGCATGATGCAAGAGTCCTTGCCATGAGGTTGTCCTCGAGTCTTAGCTCTCGCTGAGCCTGTCGCTTTGCCTGCCAGGCCCATCATTCTGCGGTGTTCTCAGGGTGCTTTGCGAGTATGGGCCGGCTGGAGCAGGGGGCAAACAAGACACGCACCGAGGCTTTTTTTGTTTTTCTTTTTCCGGGGCCTCGTTCAAATGAGCAGCAACACAGTCAAGAGGCCTTTGAATGGATCTCAACCGAATCAATAAGGAGTTCTGTTTAGAGGGCCGATGTACTCGTGATTGGGACCTGGCCATGGTTTAACCTTTCGAAGGGGCGACACACTTTTTGGCGGACATGGGCTGGGTGGGGACCCCGGCAAATGGCGTAATTATCTCAGATTCAGCATGTTATCGGACATTGTTCCGTGCATCTCACGAGCATCACAGACATGTTATCGCTGTTTTCAAGTTGAAACTGTTGAGACAGAGGCCCTGCAGCTGCCCAACCGCACAAGTTTGTAAACAGTCCTCCGGAAAGTTCATGAAATCGCCAACGAGAGTCCAAGAGATGCGATGTTTTTTAGGTCCGGGCATTACGTGTTCAAGGATATGTTGGTGCTAGGTTGCTACAGCTGATGTTTCATGTTAGGATCCAGCGTTTAGCACAGGCAAGGCATGGCAACGGCTCATACTGGCGAGGTCTGAAGGTTATCGACGGGCAGAGGGGAAGACTGCTTGGTTGTCTTTGGGTGAGTTGTTCATGGTTGGCGGCTCAAGGTTCTGTCATAATCCCTGATAATAGATATGGGCCCCTCGCCCAAATTGTAACTTTGCTCAGTTGTTCAGTGGCTCCCTTTTTCCCTTTTTTTTTGGTGGCTGCCCCACTAAAATGGTCTTCCCGAAAAAGGGTTCCCTTTTTTTCCAGGGTCACTGAACAACTGAGCAGACAGTGGGTGAAGTTTGTGCTTTGCCGACCAGCTGGCAGTGCTAGGAAGGCAGACAGGCCCCTGTAGAAACATCGTTCGCTGGAAAAGGAAGGGAAACATACACTCCCTCCCGCTAACATGGCACCTGCCAGGGGATTCCTTAAGAGGAGATTGGTCTTCCAGGTGCCGTCTATCATCTCGGGGATCCGGGTGTTTGGGGAAAATGATATTTATTAACTAGGGTGCATTTGTACGGGGAAGCAGAAGCGGTTTCGCAGGGTCAGCATTGTCAAGCTTCAGACTTTAGACCATGGCACATGCGGCAGAAGTACTCGGTTGTTGTTGGGAAACATTTTGCACTTTTTTGCTTATTGTGGTTGAGTGGTTGAAATCCAAATCCACTTGGCTGCTAAAAATCGAGAATTTTTGCTCCCCTTTGAACGTCAACCAAGTAACCAGCAGACTGCAAGCGGCTTGACCCCTTTGCTCCGAGGAACCGCGCTCCCACATTGCACCGGCTTAGCATGCAGGCGCGAAGCACAAGCGCACAGATGGTGAGAGACCTTTTTGCGAGCATTTACCTGGAGGGCCGAAACTCTTGGGGGAATACCCTCCCACCAAACATGGAAGCGCACAAAGCCCCTGGCCAAGAGGAAAGTAGTCTTTCTACGTCTGTGCACTTCCATGTTCGTTGGGAGGGTATCTTATTGCTGGTTATTCGCGGGCTGCATAGGAACACTTGTTGACGCTGGTGGTGACAGGTGGCCGGATCGTGTTAGCTCAACCTGAGTTTGTTGTAAGTCCCTACAGGTCACGATCTGCACTCCAGCCAATCGTAACAATCCATGTGCTTAGTCATCAGGGACCGTGTGCCCACAACGAAAGTGCGACCCATACGGCAAGATATTCTGCGTCTACATACTATTACATTACAATTAATATATACATATATATATATATATATCACATGTACATGCCCACAAAAACAGGCTGTACTCAAACGTCACTCGTGACGAAGCTTCAACTTAGCTGAAACATGGTTCGTCTGGAAAGCTTAAGCGCAGCATATTTCAACGCCTGCATTTCTTGACAGTGACATGGCTACCTTAGTCCGGCGGTCGATTACAAGGCAGCTGCTTCTGGACAAGGATACGCCTTCGTCCGAAGGCCACCCTCATGGGGGTTGTCATTCAGGATCGACGTGCAGTCAACAATGTTAGCATGATGCCCATGATCCTATAGACACCACTGTCGGCCACCACTACACGAGGTTTGGCCCACGGAAATCAGGGTGCCAGACCCAGGTTCCTTCCTGAACGTGGAAGGACACCTCGTTTTTATTTTGAGAGGCTCAAACGTTGATGCAGCGGAACAATTCTCATGTTGAGCCGTGCACGCTTTGAGATAGCAGCAAGCCCCCCCCCCCAGCCAGGCATTCTTGCCCCAGCTGGTCAGCGGAAAGGCGTGGCGTTGAAGTCGCTTGGTTTCATGGATGCAGCCCTTGTTGCTCTTGGCAGCAGTTGGGGAACGGCTTGGCAGCAGTTTGGCCGTAGGTTTTGCTTGTTGAGTTTGTGTTGATTGGGCTATTTGCTGCGTGTGGACGTCAGGCTGGAATGACCATCAGCTTTTGCTGTCCTTCAACTATGCCTTTTGTGTCTTACAAGAGACCCATGCTGTCCGTGAGCGAAACTTGCCTAATCAGCCTGTGGTGGTGGTTCCCAGCCCGTGTTGAAACCTGCTTGTTGTCAGTGCCTATGTGTGGGGCTCAGGCCATATCTTGTGGATTTCCTTGGTTGTATCAGACAAACTGAGTTCACTGGTCGTAGTACTAGGATCATTCTGTGTTAGAGGTTCAAGTCTTCGCACAGTGACTTGATCAAGGAGTATGATTGAACTGTGTACAGAGAAGCAATGCCCATTTGAGCAGATGTGTTGTTTGCTATTTATTCGGGAACTCACTTTATGCCGCGGCCGCACCACGTAGGCAATTCTAGTGGGAAATCGATCGCGTGGGCTGTTCAAGCAAGTCCTGCGCAGGCAGGTTCGCGTAAGCATGTTTTGCCCTACACAAGCTTAAGAGCAACGCCAGAGACAAGTCTGCGTAAGCACTGGCTCGCGTAGCACGCTTCCATGTCTTTACATGTTTTACACCCCCGCAGCCTCCGCATAATAGGCATGGCTGCCAGTGTATAGGGCCGATACACCATAAACACCTACTCGTGTGAGACTTTGGGGAATTTGTCATAAGGCAAACACTGACACTGCGTTTAGCATTGGACAGCCAGTCGTTTTGCGTCGCAGCCCATGAAAGTGCTACTTGGCTCTGGTGTTTGTCGTTGCAGGCACTGAAAATCCACCCACTCGTGTGTGGCCCTTTCAATGCTGACTTCGACGGCTGGCGACTCAGGGGCCAACTTGAGACTGTTTTCAGCTCGATGGGAAACCCGACAACGGTGCTGATGCCGTGAAGGAGACTGTTTTCAGCTCGATGGGAAGCCCGGGGGTTCAAATCACAAAGCTGATGATACTGCGGGTAGATGCCTGGCTATGTCCACTTCTTTGGGCTGTACGACACGCGACACACAACACCGAGCTGTTGCGACTGCTCGTAATTGAAAGCCAACGCGTTATGGAGGAACGCCACATGCGACTTCAACACATGTCAATCCTGACAAAGGCAACTGACAGTTTTACCCATCGGTTTGGCCGCGATGTAGCATGTTGAATCATTTGACTTCTTTGATTGACTGCCACTTGTGTTCTGACTTATTTCTACTGGGCACCACGACTGGGCTCAAGTCTCCTTCGTTTCGGCCAGCGCAGGGGGACGCTGACAAGCACACTTATCAAAGACGTCGCATCCTGGGTCCAAGGAGGGAAGCCTCCTTCAAATGGCCATGGGTCAAAATTCAAATCGTACCCCCAGTGAACATCCCAATCCCCACTTAAATAGACGAAAATGGGTGGTGCACCTACCCCAAAATGGTACCATTGGTGTTGACCCACAGCCAAATGTATAAATTTGCTTTGCAGCTACAGGCCACCTGTCAATCGTTCTTGTGCTTGCTTTTTGTTTCAGAGTTCTGTGCTTTGTCTTGCGAGGGAGGCCATTCATTCAAATCTGATGCGTCCGAATTTCGAGGGTCGCGCCACAGATGGGCAGCAGAAGTACTTGCTTAACTTGGAGGTGGTCTGCAATGTGGGCCGGAGGCCCTCTGCAAGGGACCATTTTGTCTTTGCTGATCCAGGTTTTCTATGCATGTACACAACATACATATGTTCATACCCATATTGTGTCAAAACGACTTGGTTTGGTGTCCAAGTGCTTCTATGAGTTCAGTGAATCAGACCCTCCACGTTCTTGGGGCATGCAATTTGGGGTGAAGCCCAGGGGACACCATGACCATCCACCTGGTGCTCAGCCGGGAGCCGAGTCGAGAACGCAGTGACTCTTTGCGGAGCAAAGGATGTTCAGACTGATTCAGTTGCGTTCGAAAGGAGCTTGGTTCAGTTGCCCAGTGGATTTCGCCCCCCTTTTTTCCTTTTTGTTGGGAAGGATTGCGATTCCTTTAAAGTCAACCAACCAAAAAAAGGATGCCCTTTTTTCCCATGGCCACTGGGCATCTGAGTTGGAGCTTTTGGACCAAACCCCTTGAAAACTGCTGCAAATCCGTCTTTGAAGCAAACCTCGGTAGGTTTTGAGCTTGCTCAGATGATTCCTGCCAGATTGGCGAGCTCGAAGTCTGGGCAATGCGAGACTGGGTCCTGTCAGTCACACGAAGTACGAAGTGAGCATTGGATAAGAAGCTAGACGAGTGGAATTCAAGGGCCATCAAAGTCTTAGCTACAAGTTTTGTCGCCAAGCCTGCACAGTCTGGGCCCCTCAAGTTCTTCGCAGATCCTGACACTGCTTGGATGACCCAAGATGGCCAAGATGAGGTTCCTACGAGAAATGGAGGGTTTCAAGGGGTTGCTTAGACATTTCAGGCGTGTTGCTAGGAAACGAGACCTTGGGTGACAGTTCCTTTGGTGTTCATTTGAAACAAGCCCAATTGATACGTGGAAGTTGGAACTGGAGATGAGGGGCACTCAAGTTCTTGAATGGTGTTCAACTCGGGCGTGTGCACCTTTGTTTTAGCTCCAGCTCGCAAATTCTTATAAAGTGCATTGTGATACAGTGCGGGGGCATCTCATTTAAGGGCTGTCAAGTGTCATGTGGCCGGCAAGTTTGTGTCTCCTTTCAATCGAGGACCTTTGCCCAATTTCGCCGGAGGTCGTGACTCAAGCAGAATGATTTGAATTTTCCGTGTCCAAAGTTGATCTTTGGTCCGCAGAGATCTCAGTGCGTTGTGCTTGAAGAGCACGCTGATCAGGGAAACCCTAGCAGGGATACAGGGGGAACCAGGGATACGGCAGGATTCCCCCTAAATGCACCTTGACTAAGTTTGATATGGGAAATGGCGCCAAGGGAATCCACCCATATCCCCGCTCCCTCCGTATCCCCACTTGATCGTTTGTCCAACGCTGATTTAGGATTTGTGCCGAACTGCAAAGCACAGTTTGGGCGTCCAGCGTTAAATATGCTCAGACCCCTTTGAGATTTGGCGCAAATCATGGAAGGGGTTCCGGCTTCACGCATAAAAACCCAGTCGGTCAACTAATGTTGACCCCATATTTCTCAACCCCTGTTTATGAAATGTATGTAAGGTGTTACCCTCCAAAAGTGATGATTCCCCACTAAACCCAGGGACACCCCCCATAATTAATGTTGGACCTGCTTTAATGTGACCCCCCCCTGAACAATGGAACCAGTCAGCGGACCCTGTTTAGGCAAACCCTGGGGGTCTGGGTGCAACTTTCAAATGAATTTAGTCTTGGTAGACTTGAGTTTCCATTTGATTTAGTATTGCTGGAGCTTCCTTTTCAGATCTGGAACTGAGTTTCCATTTGATTTAGTATTGCTGGAGCTTCCTTTTGAGATCTGGAACTGAGTCTCCATTTGATTTAGTATTGCTGGTGCTTCCTTTTGAGATTTGGAACTGAGTTTCCAATTGATTTAGTATTGGTAGAGCTTCCTTTTGAGATTTGCTCCCAAAACCAGTTGAACACTAAAGAGGACCCCAAAACAATCACACTAAAGAGGATCAGGGTTGGTTGTGGGCAGCCCCCTTTGTGTGATTGATTCACCTTGCTTTTTTTAAAGAAGTTATCATAAATTTGATGGTTTGGGCACAACTTGCAAAATGGATTTCCTAGACCTCAGGCTAGCTCAGAACCAGCCTCCAGCTCAACAGCAGCTAAGGCTTAGTCTAGCTTGAGCCCGACCTGAGCCTGCCCAGGCCAGAGAGTTGAAAACAACAAGCCTGTACTTGTTTGTGGTTTTTTTGGGGGAGGGGAAAAATGCCACTTTAGCGGACCCCTAAAACAGTCTCAGGACCCTGAATTACGAACAAAATTCTACAGTAGCGGCGACTTTCATTAAAGCGGGTGTAACATTATTATGGGGTCAAGATACGGTTTCCCTTGCAGTACCTGGAGCCAGCAGCACCTCTTCTGACTGCCCGCATCTCAGGTGAGGCGGCCAATGAAGAAGCCCGAGAGCTGATGCTGCCCTCAAGGCGCGTAGCTTGGATTCATCCCAAGTGCAGGAAGCTTTGTCCGTCAGGTGTGTGTGTGTGTGTGTGGGTGGTGTGTGTGTGTGTGTCTGTTTTTTGGCTGCACCCCAAAGAGGGGAGTGTCCATCCACTACATATGATTCGAAACCATGGTGGAAAACTAGCTGATTTTGTCCAACCACTTTGGTATCACTGGAAATAATTTCCCGACTCTCACAAGGAGCAGACATGGGTGCTTATTTAAAACAGGGGCAGGTCCTTAAATTGGTGGGGTTCTTATTCCCAATCAATCCCCAAATATCCCCACCCCCATAAATTTGGAATTGGGGGAGGGGGGAGGGGGGGTGATCCCGAATTTGTGTTGACATGTTTTGCCCCTTTTTCGGTAGAAAAAGCGCCAAACGGGTCCTTTGCCATGAGCAGGAACCTGAGCTCGGCTGCCTCGGGGGATCCCAGCATTGGGCCCTCCCAGGACATGGTGCTTGGGCACGCCCGCCGTCGTTCCCAGTTCGTTCGGTTGGTACTGTACCGGGGTATCGGGGTCCAGGGCGGCCCGTTTTGTTTTCAGAGTAATGCAGGGTTGAGACGTTCGGTTTTGGGGAGAAGCAAAAACTTGGTTTAAGCTGACTTTTTGACCAAGGGGGTTCCCTTTTGGGGAGAATGAATGAACTACTTGGTTTCACTCTACTTCGGGGTCTAGAAAAGGCTGTTGCCCTTGCAGGGGTCATTCTTTTGACTGTTGTGGACCTGTGGAGGGTATCAAAATCAGAAACTTTGCTGGTTTTCCTTTACACCACCACTTCGGGGATGACTTTGATAAGGTCAAATATTTTTTGGCTGGATAGAATTTGGTTGAGCGGACCGCCTGTGGTCAAACGAAAAGCGGGGGGGGGGCTGGGAAATTCAGAAGGGGCAACGAGTGTTTACAATCCAAATGATCCCTAACCCCACTGGAACAGCAATGTGCTTTTCTGAACTGGGTGACCCCAAAAACTGCAGTTTTCCACAACCAAGCTCAAAAGAAACTCCAGCAAAAAAACACCCCAAAAATGATGACAGTTTTCAGACCGGAGTTCTGAGTCCTTTTCTGTAGGGGTACCTTCCATTTCCATTCTTTTCAGGGATCCTTTCTAGGAAGCCTCCTTTGAAACCCAGGGAGAAAGGCTGGTTGTTAAAAGAACGATGGTTGACTAGGTCTCCTAGTAGTGCCCTTTTCTGATCCGAGAAGTGTGGGGAGAAATCAGGAGTGACCAAACTCTAGCTGCTTTTTGATCGTGCCCCTTTGGCAAAGGGAATGTTTTTTACACTTTTTGGGGAGTTGCTCCCTATGAACCGCTTTGTCACTTGCTTCCGAGGCAACTGCCCTGAGGGGGGTCAAGTATCCCCGCGCAAACACAGATTGAAACGTGGTGTTCTGCGTTCGCTGGAAGGGACAGTGGCTCCAGTTTCACCAGCCTCACAGCGGTCGCCATGACGGATTTTTTTCTGGGCAACCTTGAGCCTATTTATGCCAAAAAAAAGAGAGCGCAAAGCCAGGCCCCCGAAAGTGGGGCAACAAATGCATTTTGTGTGTATTTGCCTTCAAGCTCACTTTAATGCATCAACAGCTCATTCCCAAAGTCCGGCATTTTGTTTTTGTGTGCAATCGCTTGTGCTTCTAGCTCACTTCAATGCATGACCAGCTCACCTGCGCAGAGTGCCAGGCTCTACTACATGACGCTGCCGGCGCCGGAGTCCGATGTGCCACCAGAGGCGCGCTGGAGCTACGATGGTTTTCACCATGCGTTTGCTTTTTCAGGGTGTAAGGAAGCAAAGGGAAACCACTCGTTGTGGGAATTCCCCAAGGAGACAAGCCCAAAAAAGTGGACCCTTGCAAAGTGCCACTTGGGCAATTCCGTGCATTGGCATGGGATGTGGACTTGCTGGGTGCTGTTTGGCCTTCCCTGGCGTTTTCCCAGAAAAAGGTCGGCAGAGAAAGTGGGAGGGTCCCCCGCAGCAATCTACATGGAACGCGACAGCGGTCCCTCTAGGAAAAAAATGGTCCAAACCAGGACCCCCCCAAACATCAGGTTGCATGAAGATTCAGTGGGAGGGCAACCTGCTTGGGGTCCCTGGCTGCCGCGCTAGGTGTGCAAGACCCGAGAGGAGTTGGAGTCCGTGCTGACTGCCTGCGCGGCGGGTGAACTGCCGGCAGCCCTGGGAACTCGGGGATCCTTTCGGTTTAGGAGCCGCTCCGCCCCACTCAGGTTGATTCAGGACCTGAATCAAATTAGGTGGATCCCTCTTGAGCGTGCCACTCTCGAAGGAAGGCGCTTTTACACAGGCTCTTTCTTCCATCCCAGCGAATAGACGTGCTTCCATCAGCCAAAGATCTTCTGAGCTGAACACACGTTAATCAGGTCCCCAACGGTCCCCACCCACAAAAAGCGCACACACAATACCTCGCAGAACGGTATAATTTTTGTCCCCCGGTTTGTGGCGCCAGAACGGTTTTGACCCCCCCCTCCCTCCCTCCCTCCCTCCCTCCCTCCCTCCCTCCCCCTCCCTCCCTCCCTCCCTCCCTCCCCCTCCCTCCCCCTCCCTCCCTCCCCTCCCTCCCTCCCTCCCTCCTCCCTCCTCCTCCCTCCTCCCTCCCTCCCTCCCTCCCTCCCTCCCTCCCTCCCTCCCTCCCCTCCCGTCCCCGCCTACCCCCCCAGCCCCCCACCTCCAAGGGTCCGGTGCTCCAACCCGCCGCTTCAGGCCTCATTCCCGGGAGCTCCTGGTTCCTCAAAAGCTCCTCAGCGAGCTGGTGCCGGAGGCCCGCAATTGGCAAGCTTTGGGCCGAGGAATTTGTCGCTCGCAGTTTTTTTGGCCAAGCGGGCTGCGCGGTGCCATTTCAAAATGTGCGCGCGGGTGTGTGTGTGTGTGTCTTTTTTGGAGGGTACCCTTCCTCCCACTTGGTGGGGAGGTACCTGGAAGATCATTCTCCGCTTGAAGGGACCCCCTGTCAGCTGCCATGTTAGTGGGAGGGAGGGTACCCGTTTTTGGCGGCTTGAAAGAGAAACCAGCGGGACAATCGCCGTTTTTGGGGTCCCCGAACAAAAAAGACATACCCATATGTGGACATTCCCTGTTGGATGGCTACAAAGGTAAGCCAAAGTACAACAAGGACAAGGAGCTTGGCTCAAAGCAAGAATTCTAGAGTAGCGCCATTGCACTTGTTTTGGGAGGCCTGCAAGATCAGGCAACGGGGCCGATGAAAAAACGGCTCCTGCAACCATAGGTGTCCTTTTTAGGTGAGCCTGGTTAAAAATAGATGGGTTTCACTGCTTTGGATGGGTTTTGTTCGATTTACAAGGGCCATCTATTTTTCCAAAAGGCCACCTAGGCCTGCAACCTTTTTCATCAGCTTCATGGGTATTGAACTGCGAGACATGGGCTCTAGCGCGAATCAAGGCTAAGGGATGGAAAGCCTTCAGTCCATGGGGCGGCCATATGGCAATAGGGGGATGCTCTAGCATGGCTTCAAACAAACGGGGGCCTAGAAAAGAGTAAGGCTCGTTTGGGTTCCGATGCAAACGGGTGGCACCATATAAGTCCAAACCGGCGGAACTGAGTGCGGTCCTCCTTAGGCCGGTCCTCCTGAGCAATCCGCAGTCAATGCCAAGATTACATACTTTGCGCGGGCACTTGTGCACGCCTTACTTGTGGAATTGACAAAGGGAAACATAATATGGATACACCAAGTTACGGTATGTTGAACTTGCGTACTCAGAGATCCTGCTTTGATATACCTTTGTGTGTGTGCTGCATTTCCGAGTTGCCGGCACAGCCCGAGACCTGGTCCCAATTTTCCTCGGCAACTTTTGTCGAAAGAAATTGGGGCACCCCCCAGACAGGTACCCTTTTTCGCAAGCCTGTACGAGCCTTCCCCGGGGGAAAGGAGAGGGAGAACCACACAGAAGCCTAGGGACCCGGCACTGTTTGGGTTCTAAGTTATGTTTGCCATGAGAGCCACGTGCTCAAAACCGATTCGGGTAAGGGAAGGTTAGTAAGGGAGAATTCCAACCACAAATAGCAGTCGGCTTCTGAGTTCTTTACATGGTTCTGGGTAAACCATGTTGATACCAGGTTTTGATTATTGCTCATGGGTGGAGCCAAAGGTGTCCTTTTTGGTTGTTTTGGTAGAAAAATAGATGGCGATTCCTGCTTTACCTGGTGGTTATTGCTCATCTACCAGGGAAATCCATCTATTTCCAACCTACAAGGACACCTATGGGTGGCGCGCTTTTTTTGTGCTGGAAGTCGCGACTTTCGTTGAATCCAGGACTCCGCCTTGGCCGAGCATCCTGAGGATGAGATCAGGACTCAAATAATGCCGCAGCGGGGCTGCTCTCAGCATGCCTCTAGGGGTTGATTCCTTTTCCATTCTTTGCAACCATCGTTCTTTCCTTAACCGGATCCGTTTTCCTGGGTGTTTGATGATTTCCTGAAAAGATTCGGATCCCTGGAAAGAATGGGGAAGATTAAAACCCCTAGAATGCCATGTTGTTTGTGGGCAAAAGGAGGCAAAAAGGGATGACTTCATGTTGGATTGGTCCAGACTGTCTATGAAACATTTGGGAAAGAGAGGAGGCCGAGAGAGAGTTGTTCGTGTGATACAACAGACCAGCTTGTTTGCTACATCATTATGGTATCATGGTCCGGTGTTCTGCCTGTAAGAGTTACATCAGGAATTATTCACTCTGCAACCTATGTCAAAGCGGTGTGGTTGAAATGGCCATGGGTCAAAATTAAACCACCAGCAGACCGCAGGTTTTCGTCCATGGTTCCATCTACCAAAGTTCCATTTTGGGTACCTATTTTTGACCCACAGCCAAATGGTAAGGAGACCATCCAGGTGCAACGTGCTTTTTTTGTATTGATCCTGAAGAGCGGGTAGTTCGAGGGCATGGCATTTGGCCCCTTGTTGGCATGAGCTTTGGATGCCGGTGGCGGAGATTCTGGGCGATCCCTGCACAAAAGCAATATGGGGCTAAGCTAGGTCCCCCAGCGGTGCCCTTTCTCTCCCCTTTTTTGGTTGGGAGGGTTCCCCTACTAAAATAGACTATAGAAAAGTGGTACCCGTATTCTAACCTCTCTGGAGGACCTAGGACATCCATTGCACACATGGCTCTCCATCGCACACATGACTCTCCTATCATGAGACAACTTGGCTTGAGAACCCACAACCCCGTTCTATTTCATTGAGTCTGTTCTAATTGCATCCTGCTTGCGAGGATTACTGCTGGACGGGCCCTTCTGACTTTGAATCTGCCGAGAGCTTTGATCGCCGAAGCCGCTGAAGAATTGGCCTCTGTCCCCGCCCGCTTTGCCTGCGGGAAAACAGCAAGACAAAGCGAGTAGTCCTCCAAGGCCAGATGTTTGGATACCAAAATTCCGGTTGCACGAGTTTTGACCGGTGTACGATCGAGACCCGGGCGTTTGGCACAGCAACCTAAAGGCCCTTGCCTTCACTGCGAGGGATGCCTTTTCTTTTGCTGACTGGGTGAATCATTTTTGGGTGACAGCCCAAAACTTGGTGTTCCTCTTGGTTTCCCTTCAACACCAACCCAAAAGGCCACAACCGCTTCAACTCCCTTTGCTTGGCGGGTTTGCCAAAAGTGGTCCATCCCAAAAAGGGCCAGAAGCTTCTCTTATGTTTGAGCAAGTTTTTGGCTTCGAGCTGCCTGAGGCATACCGGGTTCGCTCCACCCACACGCGGCTTGGAGAAAGGATCGGCTGTTCGTGTTGTTTGGGCGAAGAAAACCCAGCAATCCGCGACACCCGAACCTTCTGCCTAGGTTTGAGGGTGGGGGCCGAAGATAGGCACACAGAAATCGTTTTGTTTGACAGCGGCCAAACCAGCGGCACCAATCATCTGGTTTTTTGTTTTTAAGTTGCACACATCAAAGAACCTGGTTGGAAAGCTTGGCCGTCTTTGGGATCAGCCTGAGTCGCGAGAGGTCGGCTCGCGAGAGTGAACAGATTCGCTGTCTGATGTTTTGGCCGCCGGGATTCCTTGGAGCTTAGGATTCCTTGGCTGAGGGTGAGCCTTCATGGCACCAACAAATTGGGTTCTTGGACTCGTTGAAGAGAAGACGGTTCATGTTGTATGGGAATGTGTTGGCAACACCAAAACCGTGGTTTTCCGGTTGGTTCCCTACCGCCCCAAAAAGGGCACCCTTCAAAAAAGACACGTCCGCATGGGAATGCAAGTGGTGTGGCTGGTGAAGTGGTTGCAGGCCACTGGAAGCTGCACAGTGCCGAGGCTCTCACGCGGATTTGCTGGATTGCCTGGAGCGCCGGATGATCGGATGCTGTTGCTACATGTCATGACAGGAAACCTCTCAAACTCAACGACTGCTGGCTGTCAGAAAGTACAACCTTACCTAAGATTTGGCGTAGCTCCTGAGCAGACTGTATTGACCTCATGGAGAAGTTTTGCCCGTTGACACTGCGTTGAACAGTCAGTATCAAGCACCCTCAGCCTGCCACGCAGTCATGCAAGGGAAGCTGCCGCAGCTGCTGCAATGTTGCTGCGGCGCTATATCAGCATTACATTATATCTATGTTGTACACAGATTATCTGCAAAGTTTGGAGACTTTGCAGACATACCCGCATGACTTCCGGAAGAATCATGATCAGGCGCGCCTCATTGGCCCAACGATCCATCAAGCGAGATCCAAGCAACCCATCAGGGGCATTTGGGATTGCCACTCGAATGCAAGAAGCCAGGTGCACTATGCAACCAACATTGGCATTGCCCAAAGCCCACTATGGACTATGCACTGAACGCAGCTCCTCTTGCCAAATGCAAGGTGTTGGTGTCCTTCTCAAAAACGCACAACAGAGAGCGTCCCTCATTGTGATCGGCACCAAGATTTGCCCATCTTTGATTGATCCCCTAATGGAAACTAGGTACACACCTCGAGCTTCAAAAACTGTGTGCCCTGTTTTGGATTGAATATTTGTTGACATGCATACTTTCACTGAATTGCCCCCCCCCCCCCCCACAAAGAAAGGACATGCGCCTTCAGTAAAACAGCACAGTGAACAAACACATTTCACACCACGGCAAGTGTTCTCGTGGGAAAATATCAGCCGTGTGTAATAATACATAATATATTGTCCATTGACGACCAACATGGATTCCGTACATAATATACAAGCTATTGATGTTCCCGTGTTTTTCCCGGGCTCCTTGTAGAGGATCCCTTGTCACAACAAGTGTATTTGGTTGTCACGATCTGCTGGGCGCTTGTTTGCGCAGGACGCGGCGCCGCTGGCGCCGCTGGATTGAGTTTCATTTATTCCCGCCCAAAAAGCTCGACTGGAAGCGCCGGAAGTGGGGAGTCGTGGGCGACCTGTCTGCCACTTGCTATTGGACTTGTTTATTTCCCCTGGTTCAGCATAGGATGGGATCCTGTGACCGAGCAAGTCAGGATGTTGCTTAATTATATTTGCCAAACGCTTGAGCTCTTTGCTGACCGCCTGGTGTTCACTGGACAAGCACGATAGAACATTACGATAAGGATGGGATGGAGCTAAACAATGTGGGACTCGCAATTTGGTCGCGGCCTATCCCCATCGGCCATGGCACTGCTGGTATGAAAAACAGGTTGGAGCCGTATTTGGGGGAACACGCTTCTTATCACAATCTGATGGGGAAAATTCATTTGAGAATGATTACAGTCAAAGAGTTATTTCCAGAGCTGGTTGTGGCTCACTTGCTAAATATGATAATTGTCCTCATGTAGATGATATGTCGAGCCAGCTACTTGTTGATCCTTGTTCGGGTGGTTCGGTGCCTCCCTATCGCCCACCTATCGGTGGCTGAGCCATACATGATTCACAATGTGAGGGGTGGCCCAGCTGCCCTCGGTGTTTTTTATTGGGTGCAGGTCGCCAGGCCCAAGCCAGCGCAAAGTGGACTTGTGGCAACAGGACGGGGCTGTTGCTAGAGGGGGCGATCGTTTAGAGCATGGCATGGAATCAGCAGGATCAGATTCCAGATGATTGGTGTTCTTTTGGTTTGCCAAAACAGGGACCCCCTTGACCCATCCCGTTGTGTGGCCCCTGCATAGTCCGGGTCAGAACGGACTTTGCAGCCCACCGCGCAACGAGTAGGAGTGCCGTACACAGTGGCAGCAGTCTTGGCTCCCTAGTCGAACAACTCGCACACACATACGCGTACAGATACACATGCATCATGCACACGGCACACAACACCAACACTACACATCAAGAGGGTTTGGGTAGCTAAGCTAATTTCCTCGATGATTTCCTATTTAATTCATTTAAGAGTTGCCCAGATCTTCGTGGCCGTCATCAGTTGTGTTACTTTATGCAAAGCAATGCAAGAATTCCCTGAGCGCATCCCGTGCGTAAGTTTTTGCCACTGGACGGATCGACAGGACATTTCTTGCAAAAGGGGCCCCGATGTAGAGGTCGAAGCTCATTTTGAGACAGCCTATGATACCAGCACGATCGAAGGGTTGTTTGCGCCCCGATCCACCGGCTTGAGCTTTGTGCGGCGATGCAGCATCGCTGCCCGCCAACTGGCAGGTCCACACGGAGGGATTGAGGGCGTGAAATTGCAGTCGACCAGTTCTGCCCATTGCAGTAGTAGGGCATGCTGGAGCTTTGGTATGCTGGAGCTGGGAGCTTTTTGTTTTAACAACAAAGAACGAAGGGATTTTATGCAGGAGCTGGGAGCTTTTCTTGTTAAGACACGATTTTTCAACAGACGGGATTTGTCGAAGTCCAACCATCTACCTGGGGGCTGAATTAACTGTCATGGATCAAACACACAGAGAGAGAGTGGGACAGAGAGAGAGAGAGAGAGAGAGAGAGAGAGAGAGACATGCCCCTCCGCATTTTCTGGTGTACAAGTTGCCCCGTTTAGAACCCCTTGAACAAAGTGGTGAGTCCTGAAATATGAGTCCACTAAAAAGCCCTTGTGAGATGACGTGTTGATGCCTGAGTTGCTTGCCACGATGGTTGCATTGCCGTTCCAAGGTGTCGCTCAGGGGCAGTTGAAGCTTTTGAGGGGATTGCATGCGTTTCCCGTGAAAGTGCCTCTGTCATCGCTGTGGCCACTGCAAGTCACATAGCAAAAGGATAGACTCTTGAGAGCAGAGGTGACGGGTAGGCAACAGAGTAAATCCTGCAATCTACCATGGCTTGTGCTTGCTTTGTAGCTTCTTTAACTGTGATCTACTTAGACAATCTAGAACAGAACTTACTGGTCGCTGCCATTCTGGATCAAGGCGTTGCAACATGACAAAGCGTGACAATGCAACTGCATCAATCCACCTCACGAGGGGTGCAGTGATTTACTGCATGTCGGCAACCACTGGAGGGCAACACAAGCATGCGACAAGGCCTTGTTCATTCCAACATGGCGAGGGCCAAAGCTGAACCCCGGCAATTTGCAGAAGACCTTTTTGCAACCCTATATTTGGCTAGGTCCCCAGTAGTGCCCTTTTACCGTTTCTGTTCTTGGGGAGAGTTCCCCTACTAAAATCGACTACAGAAAAAGGGTACCCTTATTCTACCCCTCTACCGGAGGACCTAGTTGGATTCTCATGATCTGCTTAGGTTGTGAAAACATGATTCACCCAATTCACAAGCACACGCCAAGCAAACACGAAGGGCGCGTTACTGACGCCGGTATCGGCATGCTGACAGCCTTGCTGCGGACGCCCTGCTTCGGCGTGACTGGCATCAGGCCGCTTCTTGGCGCGTTTCATATTTAAATTTGTTGACCAGAGCCTCATGCCTCACATACACTCAGGAACTCATACGCACTTCTCCCCCAAAAAATATAATATATATATATATATAGATAGATAGATGGATGGATGGATGGATAGATATATTTGTATTGTTTTGTTTCTTGTTCTCGAGCACATGTTTACTAATAGGGTCCCAGGGCGTTTCCACTGCGGTCCTTGTCCAAATGAGGTCCCCCCCCTTTGCCGGGCATTCAAAGCGTCAAAACGTAGTTTGCCAAGTAAGTAAATAATTTGCGTGAAATTGCCCAAGGCATTCGTTTGGTTTTGAATTCAAATTTTAAAAGGAAACTCACACCTACAATTTACTGAGTTTACAACTAAAAGAAGGGAAGTGCTGATTTTGGGTTAATCAAAAAGCAAAAGGGAGGAGGTCTTGTTTGATTTTGGCCTTTAAAATAGGACATATCAAGGGGAAGCGAGTATTGCTCGATGAGCTGTCAAATGCATGACCTCCCTACATGCTTGGTTTGGCGTTGTTTAAGGTCCATTAGGTCAGCTCAGCAGACAATTGTTCTGATGGTCTCATTTGAGCGCTGTTTGTTAAATTTGCCAAAGCAACATACTGGGTACTACTAGCTAATCCAAGTAAGAAGGGCCTCCCAGAACAGCTCACTTCAACGATCCGTGAAGCAGGGGTTCGTTTCAAAAGTTTACGCACATTGGGAGAAAGCAGCATGGCAGAGATGTTTGCAGCTTACGCGTATTGAGGCAATTGCTTTTGCTTAGCCTTTTGGGATGGACAATGTTCGATGTTCCACTTGTCAGAAAGCCACGATGTTGGGACGAACAAAGTTCGATGTTCCACTGGGCTTGTCAGGAAGCCATGTTGGGACTCACCATGGTATGTTTCTCGAGGATCGCGGCGCCAGATGCTCGTTGCTTGCATTGCCCCAAGGTCAGGCTCATCGCGCAGCTTGGTAGCTTTTCGCATCAGGAGCTGCGAAGACAACGCAGCATGTCAGCAGTTTGTCGTCAGGAGCTGTAAGAGCCGGCATGGCTAGTCTACTAAAGGCTCATGCCGGCCAACGAAGTCGACCATTGGTTCAGGAAGCAGCGCATGTTCTTGGTCGCTGTGGTTTGGAGTTCATTGTTTGTTGCTGGGTCTGTTTGTTTTTTGTTGTTTTGGGGGGTGGGGAGCCAATTGCTTGCAGTTTGTTGGATGCTGATCCATGGCTGTATGCAGTCAAAGCGGAAGCCTTTCAGCTGGAAACCGTCATGTTCAGCACGCTGGTGGCTGTTTACGAGTCTGGGATGCGGGTTCGGCATGTTCAATCCTTTTCCGCATATCAATGGCTTGCATCGAAGAGACAGAGAGAGAGAGAGATAGAGAGAGAGAGAGAACTCCAGGATGGCTGGCTTTCGCAATCCCCACAACCTTCCGGTCAAGGACCGGCATCCACTGCTAGCTGAAAGAAGCATTGACTCTGGATGCATTTCTTGTGCCGTGTACAAGGAATGAGAGTACGGTCGAATTCAGTGGAGAACGAACATGAGCTCTCACACCTGAGCAGGACTGCATTGTTTGTGGGCGTCCCTTTACCTGGAGGAAAAAGTCTGGACCTGAGTTAAGAGCTCAGGTCTTGCAGAGCACAATGGGTTGCAGATGTAGGCTGAGCCGTATTTTTTCAGCAGGATGCACCCCCTTATCATGAGTTCACACATGGGTGTGGCTCAAAATTAAAGAGCTAGGGTTACGCAGGTTTTAGCTTTTGGTTCCATTTGCCAAGGGTGCCATTTTGGTACATGTTTTTGAGCCACAGCCACATCACATCACATATACAGACACATGTTGGCGCCCCGTGTTACGCTCGGCCCGACAATGCGCTCATTTGGAATGGCGTGCATTGGATGGCAGGTGGGAGCGATGCTGGGACGAGGTGGGAGCTGGCTGGGTGCCCTCATCGGCAAGAAGGGTCCAAATCAGGGATGCTGGGCTGGAGACACGGCAGAGAACATGAGAGACATATGGGACCACCAGCGGAACGCATGTTTCCACTTGCCAGGGTTCCATTTTGGGCACCTGGGTTTGACCCACAGCCATGTCAGCGGAAGGATCCATACACGCATTGAACTTGGCTGATCCCATCAATTTTGGAAGAATCAGAACAGACGGGTTTGGAAGATAGATACTGCAAAACTGGCCTCGCTGGGTTCAGGGCGCATCGGATCGTACGTTTCTCGGGCTTTGCGCTCTTGCAGCCAGGTGACCACATGCAGCAATCGGTGCAGAACCGAGCGTGCGGGTCACAGTGTATAAGATACTGTACAAGGTAGAAAAGACACCTACAGATTGTCCAGCCCCCAAACCTTCTCTTCCCACCATCTCCCCTAGGACAAATCACAATTCAGTTAGCCTGCCCCAACTAACATGGAAGTAAACACCCCCTTTCCAAGAGGAAAGTCGTGACTATACAGGGGTCTGTGCAGGTCCATGTTAGTCGGGGGTAGCTGGCCACATGTAAGCTCCGCTGCCATAGGCCGGCGTGGCAAGGCCAAAGAGAGCGGTGCCGCGGCCGCGCTGGGCGCAGGCCGGCATGTGGTTTCTCAAAATGCGGGGTGGTTTCAAAGGGAAGCCAAAAGGAGAGCCTCAATTCCCCCCCACCCCACCCCCTCCCCCGCCCGGTTTGTTTGACTCATACCCATATGTTTGGAGTACAGTGTCTTGTTTGGGTTGAAAGGGGGAAGCCAACTGGAGAACACTCTTTTTAGCGGGTCCTTTTTCGATTTGGGACACCAATACGGAATCCCAGTGGCATTGGCTTTTCACGAGCGAGCATAACAGAGGAACAGAGGTGCTTTTTCAAAGATGGTGTCGGGAAACAGAAGTCAATTGCATTGAAAGCTTGGGTCTTTCTCTCGCAACCAAGTTCTAGATGTCCCGCGAGATTGGCTCAACTGTTTTGCGTTTCATGACTCGGCTTTCAGTCCGGAACCTGCATTTGACACGGGCAGGCACACATCGGCCACTGTGTAGCATGATGCTCTGAACGATGGAAACATGCCTGCGGTTGTATGTCTTTCAGAGCAGTATGGGCCGGATCCCTGGTCCTCAAATCAGCGCCCTTGTCCATAAGGAATGACGCTGATTTGCATGAAAGTGCAGCTGAATGTCGAGCAGTGCACGAACAAATTTGCGGATGGGCTGCTCTGTTTGTTCAATGAATAGACCGCTGGGAAGGGCTGGAACTTAGCAGCCCGCATAATTCAGTCCAATTGTGCCATGTCAGCCCCTCAAACTCTCTTGTCAGCCCCTCAAACTCGCATGTCAGCCCCTTGAACTTGCATGTCAGCCCCTTGAACCCGCATGATTCGGATGAGTAAGTGCCGATTTTTTGTTTTTCATCTGATTCTTCTGATGTTCTGCCCCTTTGCCATTGCCAGGGGCAGCCGTTGCGGTAGCTGCTGCCCCAGTCAGAAGCTAGCCATGGCCATCGGACCTTGCTCAGTTGTGCACCGCATCTGTTTCAATCCGGAAGTCACGGAGCATTCTGCAGCATGAGCAGCATGATAGTATCATTTCTCGTGACCCTTTGACAAAGAGGCTTGAAAAAACAATAATACTTTTGCAGGAGTACCACTAAGGAGATGAACTGAAAAAACACTTGATGTTTGCCCATTTGAAACATGGCTTTTTCAATCAAAATAAAGGGAGAACCACCATTTACAAGGCACTGTTCAGGTGTATAATGTAAGGATCCCTGTCTTATCATAAATGATGTTGGACAGGATGCAACGAGCGGAGCACGGAGAAGGGCGCCCTTGCAATCAGCTGTCACTCCGAGGCACGGAAGAAGGTAGCCAAGTCCGAGGAGGGCGAGGCGTGCGGGTTTGGCAGACCGAGCTGCCTCAACAAACCGAAAGGTAGTAACGATTTAGGAATCTAGGGGTTGACTCCCCATTCTTTTCAGCCATGGTTCTTTTCAAAAACCAGATCCATTTCCCCAGGGTTGTTGGTGGTTTTGTAGAAGGATCCCTGGAAAGAATGGGAAAGTTACCCCTAGAATGAAGCGTATGTCGGGGTTGATCAAAAAGGTCCGGTAAACATGGGATGACCATTGGGGAAAACCACTAAAACAACAACATTTCCTGCAATAAATAGGAACAGTTGCCCATTCTCATTTTGGGGCCAGGAATATTGATTAATTAACCCCCACGTCGCGTTCCTGGCACTCAGCTTGAACAATGTGATGCATAATGCGGTGGATCTTGCCGCAAGTGCCAGCCTCTTTGCCAGCCTGGCGCGCCTGATGTAACATTTTATCCACCTGGACGCTGACTGACTGACTGACTGACTGGCTGGCTGGCTGGCTGGCTGGCTGGCTGGCTGGCTGGCTGGCTGGCTGGCTGGCGGATTGGCTGGCGGATTGGCTGGCTGGCTGGCTGGCTGGCTGGCTGACTCAGTGTCGTTCTGACTGACTGACTGACTGACTGACTGACTGACTGACTGACTGGCTGGCTGGCTGGCTGGCTGGCTGGCTGGCTGTCTGTCTGTCTGTCTGTCTGTCTGTCTGTCTGTCTGTCTGTTTGTCTCTCTGTCTGTTTGTCTGGTCCTGTCATGTCCTGTCCTGTCCTGTCCTGTCCCGTCCTGGCTGGCTGGGTGAGTGTCTCTCGGTGTCTCATTGTCTCACTGTCACTGTCTGCCTGCCTGTCTTGTTCTTTGTCCATGCATCTGTGTCTGCCTATTCATGTAGTGTAGTTTATCTATTTAGTAGTTTAATTTATTTGTTGCTTCAGTAAGTTAGCCAGTCAGTCAGTCTGTCTGTCTGTCAGACAGTCAGACAGTGAGTCTGTCAGTCAGACAGTGCGTCAGTCAGTGAGGCAGTCAGTGAGTGAGTGAGTCAGTCAGTCAGTGAGTGAGTCAGCCAGCCAGTGAGTCAGTCAGTCAGAGTCAGTCAGAGTCAGTCAGAGTCAGTCAGAGTCAGTCAGAGTCAGTCAGAGTCAGTCAGAGTCAGTCAGAGTCAGTCAGAGTCAGTCAGAGTCAGTCAGAGTCAGTCAGGGTCAGTCAGGGTCAGTCAGTCAGAGTCAGTCAGTCAGTCAGTCAGTCAGTCAGCCAGCCAGCCAGCCAGTCAGCCAGACAGCCAGCCAGCCAGTCAGTCAGTCAGTCAGTCAGTCAGTCAGGCAGGCAGGCAGTCACCGAGTCAGCCAGCCAGCCATCCAGCCAGCCAGCCAGCCAGCCAGTCAGTCAGGCAGGCAGGCAGTCAGTCAGTCACACATGGACAGACAGACGGACGGACGTACAGAAAGACAGACAGACAGAGAGACAAACAGACAGACAGACAGCCAGTCAGTCAGTCTGAGAGACAGAGACAGAGGCAGACAGACAGTGACCAGCCAGCCAGGCAGCTTGTTGCTGCGCGAAAGTAAGCTTTGAATCTTTGCTCATGCGGCAGATGTTTCTTGGGCAGGAGTCGGCCGAGCCTGAGAGCCGTGCGCTCGGTGCAGGGGTTTGAACGCTCAAGTCATGTTGGGCATTGGCTTCTCAAGGGGAGAAATGATGCGTGGCGCATCAAGACACCTGAAAGGACACCTTCCAGGAAAGCCACGCTGTTGGCCAAATTGAACATATAGAGAAAACATGCTCTGTTGAGGTCGACACAGATGGCACAGTCTTTTCCGTGGTTCTAACCAAACTTGGCAATCTGTTTGTCCACAAGGACGCCTAGAGGATGCCTGCTTCAGGAGCCATCGGGCTCGGTGCACTGGGCCGTCAGGTGACTCTGGCAACGAAGCGGGCGACACCGGCGATGCACCGGCAAAGGCGCTGCAGAGTGCTGCATGAGTGACTGGCTCAAAGCCCGGGTAGATGAAGGTTAGTAAGGGACAATCCCAACGGATATCCGCCTTCTTAATTCTGCATGGTTCTGGGTCGACCATTTTAGTACCAGGTTTTGAGTATGACTCGCATGTTATCGGAGATCGAGGTGTTCCGGGGTTGGAGGATGGATTCAGCCGGATTCAGCAGCAGTCCATGCGCATTTGGTGAGTGTTACTTCGAAGGCCGCCAGCGAGGGCTTGCCCATGTCCGCATGTCGACACCAGAAGTTGAAGTGCGTAAGCCTTTGGCTCAAGAGAACATAGTCTAACACATGGAGTGCAGCAAGACAGCATGAAAAGATATCTGGACAACTTATGTTCCAGTTCACAAGACCATGCAGGGAACAGGCTTAGACATGGCTCTGCTCATGTGGACACAGGCAGCAACACCACTCGAATATTATGTTTCTTCTCACACTCTACAAGATGACGTTCGCTTGGCACCTGCTGCTGGTATGTTTTGCACCGGTTTGCTTTGCGATCGATCCGAAACTTGGCTGAGATTTGCTGACGTGCGCTAAACTGAATGCATGCTACCCACTAGACACTGGGCAAGCGAGTGGACAGCGCTGGCCATCGCGTGGGCATGACTAGCTCTCTCATTTGTTGCAGGTGCTAAGAATGGGTCTTCTGTTTCAAGATGTTACTTTGCGGAGGAACATCTATGAGAAGCTGTTCATGCTGAACTGGCCGATGTACGAGAAAATGACAGAGAAGGTGGTCAGCGTGAATGCGACACCCTCAGCCGTAACCAGGGCGGGCGAGACTCATGAACACTGACTGGCGTGATTGTCAGTCCCTTTTTTGGTATCAGGTACTTGTTAGTTAAACAAGAGCGCATGACCCCCAACGTCCAAACCACCCAACAAATACCGAAGGGTAAGTGACCCCCCCGGAAAAAAATAAGAAAGAGGAAAAACAAAAAAAGTGGGTGGACAGAAACCCCATGATGCCAGTGCCTCAAAACTCACCACATGGATCCTTTATCCTAGGCCAAAGACATCTTGGACCTGGGAACTGGACCCGGCCAGCCTTCTGTGCTCATTGCGCAGTCTGTCCCATCGGCTCGAGTCCATGCCACAGACGTGCAGGAGCGGTTTGGCTGAGAGTTGGCCCTGAGAGGTCTCAAAATGGGTGTTATTTAAACAAAATCCGGCAACCCCCAAATTTGTTGCCCTGGTAAACTGAAAGAGCTAAATCCTGCGGTGCAATTCCTGGTGGTTTAATTTCTATCCCAAATGCGGGGATCCCCACTGTTGGTTTCCCTCAAAAAAGAGACGCCCCCATGGCTTTTGCGTACCCGGAGTGAAGTGGTCACCATCAGCCTTTGGAATTTTTGGTGCTGACCCTGCTCTAGACAAGCTTTCGTGTCGTATATCCTTCCAATTGGTGTCCGGGGCGTATCCGGGACTTCAGTACCACTTGGTGGTGAGCATGAATGTGACGGGATTTGATTCTGCCAGAGGCACAAGTAGGGTATGGCACAGCATGGGTTGTTGCCATGCATTTTTGTTGCGCGTGGATTGCTTGTGTTGCTCTTGGATGAAGAAAAATGTTTCTCCAACCTGCAAACATGCACGCTGTGCGGGGAGAACGGTCAGCAGAAGCAGAGCTTCATGATTGTTTCTCAGTTGGCAATGAATTGGATTGAGGCACAAGCTCAAAAGTGGTTGGACATGAATCACCACCTAAACAATGTCTATTAACAGGCCCCTAATTAAACATCAAATATGTCTACCCCCATTTGGAGGAGCCCTTTTTTTGTGAGCGTCAAGAGTATCAAAGTTGACTAGGCGCCTCCCTGCCTCAGGAAGCCATGGTCAGCAAGGCCAAGAAGCGAGGGGAGAAGCTGAGCGGCTTGGCAGCAGGTTCGACGGGTCTGACAGGTCAAGCGCAGACAACCCTTTGCCCAAGAAACGCAAGACGAAGGACACCGACCCGGAAGCGTGGGGTCTTAAAAGCAGTTGACACGCAGCGGTCGCACTTAGATCAGTTGTTTGGGGCTTTGAATTTTATTTGGTGCAACAAAACAAGGAACCCGTTTGAGGTCTTGTGTTAAAATCTGAAGGCGTCTGAATTTCAACTGGGAACCCTTTGGACAGCACTTTGTGGATGAACGTGATTTGATCATTTTGGACAGTCTTTCCTATGAATATCCATAACGCCACCTGAAATCGACCACTTAGTGGACCCAAAGATGAGGGTTTGTCTTGTGTTGAGGTGTGGGGTTTTAGGGAAACCACAAACGAAACCACTTTCTTTTTTTGGGGGGGGACCCCAAAATAAGTATGATTTTTTCGGGTGTCCCCCAATTTGGGTGTGCCTCAAATTACACAGCTGGGGCTACGTGGATTTTAGTCATTTTTCCATACACCAAGGCGCCATTCAATGGGCACCATTTTTGGAGCCCCATCCATTTAAACACATGTCCATGCTTCCATTTGTTTAATAATATGTTGTTCTTCCTCTGTTGGTTTTAAAAGGAATCAATCACTACTGGACAAACATATTATTCATTTATTTTTATTTTTTTCCAGACGCATGCGAAAACGCCACTGGACGCTCACGACGTCACCTGTGCAGCCAACATTGACTTCAGCGTGATGTCGGCGGATGACCTCTCGGCCCTGAAGCCTAAGAGCTTCGACGCGGTGACCATGTGCTACGTGCTCATGCGCCTTGGGCCGGCGGTTATCCCCGGGACCCCCCCCCCCCCGGCAACTCGAGCGGTGGGTGCGGGTGCCCTAAGGGGGCTGACAATGAGGGAACCGAGCTGGGAGGTGTTGCAATATGTTGCAATGGCTACCTTAAGTACTTGCTGCGATAAGGAGGGAATGAGGGATGAACCTGGGGATTCCCTTAAAGGAAAACACAAGGGATGGTTTATGGGGTTCATTCTCTCATTCCTGGCTGAGCACCAGCAAGTCTAAACGAAGACACACACACACACACCACACACACACACACCACACACACACACAAAAAAAAAACAGCACCTACGGTGTCCTATGGGGATTTTCGCGAACTGCCAAATGGACGGCTCACCTTGGCTGCCTCAAAGCGAACAACTTGGAGAACCGCTATTTTCGGGAGCATCGATGCTTCCTTTGGGCGTTTATTTGTTTCAGGGTGCCCTTTTTGGTTGGTTGTACATAGAGGGAAACCAATGGCCAACCTTAAAAACACCAATTTGTATTGTTGGTTTGGGCATGTGGCCATGAATCACCTTTTTCGACCCAAATGCGCAGACCAAGTTCGGGTTTCTTGCGACGGTCATGTATCGGTGTTTGATCCCTTCTACGCATGACAAGTACTACAAGGGCCTAAACAATACGATTAAGCCAAAGTACTTCATGATCAGGGGCTGATATAGCAGGGGTACTGGTTGTCCATCGCCATGGACATCCAAGTGGCATTTATCAGCCTTTGCAGAAGCATGCTCCTCACTGCGTATAACAGAAAGGAGCCACAAGACGCTGCAGAATCTTCGTATCTTGACTCGCTTCCTCAGGGTGGTTTAAATCACATGCCAGGTTTGTGCCCGACAAGCAGAAGTCCTTGCGCGAGATCGGCCGTGTGCTGCGGGCTGGAGGGCGCGCATTCGTGTCCGCTCCACGGCAAAACCATGCGTTTGGAGTTGGTTTGTCGACGGCTTTCTGGCCCATGATCGGCCCATGGATCACGTTGTGCGCTAGCCGTTTGGTGCAATTTCGAAAGGTGTGGGTATGTTGAGGCCAAGTGCTAACTGGTTATGGCCAGGTTGTCCATGGATAAAGGAAAGCTCGTGCCAGATCTTCAACAGCACACTCCAGAAGCCGGCACCAAACACGATGCATATAATATATATATATATATATACATACATATATATATATATATATGGGGGGCAAAGGGTGCCACAAACTGGACAAAATCCAGGTTTATCAATGGGGTAAAAACAAATGTGACAAAACCTCTCTTACGTGCACATGCTTCAGAAGTTCAATCACACTGGGAAGAACGTGCTTTAGACTCAACCAGCAGATACCAGCAGGTCAAGCCTAGTGATGCCTAGTAGCTGGCAAACATCTTGGCCAAAAACGCCGTGGCCTGGTCCGCCACGCAGGTGTTACGTAGCCCATCGTAGACCACCGCCGTTGAGTCTCCGCGCCGCCAAGCCAGGAGCGCCCAGTGACCGGGGCTACGCAGCAAAGCCGCTAGCGCTGGCGCGTGCAGCTGCAAGTGCAACATTCCTGTCCTCTCCTCTACGCTGGCATCACACACGCAAATAGAATTGGGCCATGAGTTTCCCAGCTCTTCTCTGAGGCGCAACACTGAAGCGTTCATCAGCTGAGCCATGCTCATCTGCACGTGCGTGTTAGGGAGCACGTTGAACTCTTTGCAGGGGCTCAACAGAAAGGCTTCTATGTCTGACGCTGCTGGCAAAGCCTGAGTCCTGCCGGCGGCAGCCCAGAATGGCCCAGCCAATCTGTTCGCTTCCACTGGTGAAGCCTAGGGTCAATGAACACCAACATGTGGAGGGGCCCATCTGGAGATATTGACCAAACCTACAGCCCACATGTGGAATACACAAAAGATCATGTGGATGAATCCAGGGTTTCTGAGGTGGTGCGAAATGATTTTCGTCCATCCACAGTATTACCAGGTTTTGACTGTGAGGCAAATTATGACTCAATGAAAACCAAAGCTTAAAAAGAATGACTGCGCAGCATGCGCAGCCCTGCGTAAGGGTTTTTTCCTCGCTTGGCTGGCAATTATATAATGGATGTGGCTCGTCTCGCACTCAAAGCCATGGCAAGCTCACGCGAACACAAAAACAGCATGCGCCAAAACCGCCTTGTGTTCTCTCGCTTGCAGAATCTCACAGACATGGTAAAGTCGTTCAGTGTTTCAATAATTGTCGAGACATCTTATAAATCTTAAAACTATCTCTATCAACAAGAA